ATGTGATTTCTTCCTATCATTCAGATACTTGGCTGATCCTTCAACTTCAATGAGCCCACCCAGGAAACTGGCCTTCAGAGAACCATTAACATCCAGCAGTGCCGACTTTTTTTCAATGGAATCCGTTAAATTGATGTGAAATTCACTGCTGTGCTGATTATGCTCCACTGGCTTCTTCTGCAGAGTTTTATTATTCCAGAGTGTGACACCTTTAAGACACGAAATCCACAAAATGGAAAAAAAAAGTCTTTAGAAAGTTTAGAAACGAAATAGATTAAAATTGTATTTGAAATGTACTAAAAAATGTAAAACTTAACACTCATAAAGCTCTAGAGAGTTAGAAATCTCATGGTTTTTACTCTGCAAAAAACATGCTTCAAAGTTTTTATTCTGTTAATGTTTTTTTTGAGACAGAATTTATTCTGTTCTTTCAGAGATTTCCAAATGAATTAATCTTAAGGTTGTCTGTTCTTTAAAGGGTTTTTTTGCTCCTTTTGTTACTCACCCTTTTCATTTAAACTATTATTTTCTTCATACAGTATTTTCATTAAATGGTCATTAATATTTCATTGCTGCTATGATAAATATTTCTTTGATGCACCTACTTACCCTATAAGTAGATAGGTCATTTAAGAAACAAATTAGTGTGGGTTTTTGCTGGCCATACGGCTGATTGCTTGAACAACAAATCACATTTTACCTGGGATGAGTTTCCCTCTCCGTGCATCATAGAGCATCCCTAAACTGAAAGGTTGACCCAGAGCAGCCACCTCCAAAACAAATGATGCTCCTACATGAATAAAAACATGTGGTCATAAATACAATGTGACCACTCAGCTTCTTTCATGTGATCAAACATGTGATCAACCCCACTTTGAACACAGTCTGTATATAAAATGTGGATGTGAAATTATGTTGTTTGTAGGCTTTTGTTTGTAGGCCTTTAACCCTCTAAAGCCTAACCTATCACTAATCTCTGTTTTGTGCTCTCGGCGTTCCCTGCGCAGTTCACCTCCCCAGTCCCTCGGTTTCTTCTGGTTCCATACGTTGTTTTTTCGGCTACCCTCACGGGACACCTTTAGTTATAATAAATTTGCTTTCTTTATTCCCTCCTACCCTGGTGTGTGTGTTCTGCTTCTGGGTCCAGCTTGCACACGGAACTTTGGTTCATGACACCCTAGTATGTTTGCTCATGCAAAATGAAATGTGATTAATATAGAATAAAAATGAATGATATTTAATTGTGATGAATCAAAATTAATCCACTGTAACCCTGTGACAAATCTGATTAAACATTTTAATTGTTTGACAGCACTAATAATATATTATATATTAGTTTATACTTACCTATTAGTGTATAGGTTTTTTAAAAAGTTGTATTTCACAGGAGCGAACCTGTGTTAGAAGATTGAAGAAAACTATTCAAATTATCTTTGAATTTAAGCATAAATTCTTTGTGTTTATTCTGCATTTGTCACGGTCCGCGGCCCGGCGTCCGAGGTGCTGATGGGATGCCCACTCCCGTGGGCGTGGCTGCTAACTCCACACCTGCATCCCATCCCGGGCGATCACCAGGTGGACTATTTAATCCTGCCCAGCCTGCTGCTCCACGCCAGTCCGTAGTCGTCCTTCAGCGGTAACGTACTCCTGCGGGAAAGCTCTTATGTAAACCT